TGGCCCTATGACACCACAGTGAGTCTGCATGTACTAACTTTCTAAGAGAGGGAGGTCCTGACATCTCATTCTTTCATCATCTTTCCACTCCATTCTTTGCTCATCAATATAAGTCTCTGTGTAGGGCAGAGGTAATTTCAGCTAATCTAACTTTGTTGCTGTATATGCCATGTAATTGCCTGAGTGTACAGTGGGAAGAGGCTAGCAATCTGATCTGTGGCCAACTCCTCTAGCCCAACGAATCTTGTTGACTTTTTAAAGTTTACTTTGTTTTGATTATCTTGCTCCTGGGTAGTGCAGGGACAGACATTTCAAGAATGTTTCATAGCCTCATAAAGAGACCTCTGGCTTCTTTATGTGCATCACAACCTACAAGGTAAAAGGATATCTCCCTAAAAGTGGGAGGGGTAGTATGTTCTGTCCTAGGGAAGCTTAGAAGCAGCATTCCTGGGAGAAGGCATAAATGATTCATAAGAAATTTTCCATCAATCCAATATCCCCAAATTGTGAAAATATTAAAAGTGCCCCAAATGTGCAGCAGGTGGAGGTGAAAACCAAAGGTGGCATGGCAGCCATCATGCGGCTCAGCTTTGCTGGATCTTTGTCAAGCAGCTGTGCTGGCCTTACGACTTTTGCCGCTCCTATCAGATATGGCTGTGCCATGGAGTGATGGTCTGTTCCCTCAGCACACCACCTATTAGGATTTACTTCAGCTGCTGTGTGTCAGTCCCCAGAACTTTTGCCTTGTATGACTGTGTGAGGCCCTGGCACTTACCCTTTACCTTTTGGTTCTTGGTTTAACTTTATAAAGCACTACAGTATTAAAGATGGAAGGGTTTCAGTTTCCTGCTTACTCTCTTAGCCTTTATGTAGCAAAATCACCGGTCTTTACTTTGTCTGACAAACCAAAACAAAATGACTGCAGCAGGGGCTGGGTGTGGTGGCGCACACCTTTAGTCCCAGCACCTGGGAGGCAGATGCAGGTAGATCTCTGAGTTCGGGGCCAGCCTGGTCTACAGAATGAGTTCCAGGACAACCAGAGGCTACACAGAGAAACCTTAACTCAAAACAACAAACCCCCTTCCCCAAAAAAAGACAGAAGCAGGAATATTGTGAACAGCCTTTTTTAACGTGTGAGACAGCTATGGGGGAGACCGCTGGCAGTCTTCACTCGGTGAACAATTAGAAAGGAAGCAAAGGATAAATTTGTTACTCAAGGGCAACACACTGCGCCTACTTTCTCTGGACATATAGAGTCCTGGAAAATGCATTAAGTACTTTTAGGGGGCTGGAGAGATGGCTCAGGAGTTAAGAGCATTGGCTGTACTTCTAGAGGATTAGGGTTCAGTTCCCAGCACCCACATGGCAACTCACAATTGCTTAACTCCAGTTCCAGGAGAACTGATGCCCTCTTCTGGCCTCTCACATACACATACATTAAATCTTTTTTTTAAAATGAGCACTTAAAAAAATAGAAAGCAATGGATGTCACTGTTCTGACCTACTATCCACCAACTATCCAGCCTTTACAGCTACTAATTCTGAGGAGTGCAGATTCCAGGCCAATTCCCCTGCTTTTCACATCAGATACCTGGATTCCACACCTCAGTGCTGCCGGAACCCACACAGGTAGCTATACTCACATACACAGCCTGTGTTTCAGACTTCACTTTGTCAAGATTTCAGCCAGATTCCCCAAGCCTGGCACGGAAGCTCTGAAGTCACTCAGCTTTAACCCCGCCCTCCCCCTTAACTTTCTTGGGATTCTTTTAAGAACACCCTACAGTGTTCAGACCCCATGCTGCCCTAACAAGAGAAGACCCAGGGCAGGAGAGAACCAGCCCTACCTCTGACACTAGATTTAGTTAGAGAACTGAGTCTGCGCTGAAGATACCAGGACCACCAGGCTCTAAGGTGGAGACACCTTAGCAGAAAGCCCCAAACTCCCAATTCAGAGCCTTTCACCAAGGCAGGCCTCCCTCTGGGAATTTCTGGGCCCATACTGGCCACAACCATAGGAAATCCAGAGCAAGCCATGGAGACGTGAGCCTCGTCTGGTGGCAGATCTAGGGGTCTTCACTCACCTAGGTTCTGGGAGTGACAGGTCAGCAGCAGCAGTCCATCCCCGGGCAGAAGCTCCACGGTTTCCATGAGATCTCTGAATTCTCCTTGCCCACAGACTGATGACACCAAGTGAGGAAGGTGAGCTGAAACTGCTGTTTTAGTTCTCTCAGGACACTATAGGACTGTATCTGTTGCAATTCCGGGTTCAGGTGTCCCTCATGATCATTCTGCTTCACTGTCACCCTGGTCATTCTAGATTTCCTAGTGCCTCCTGCTCCAATCTGGCCCTAGGAGAGGTGTCCCCATGGCAGGAGGTCCCTCTGTATGTCAAGGGCCCTGCAACAGATCTAAGGAACACTGTGGCTATTGCCTTGGAAAGCCTAATGAAATCAGCAGACTAGAGTAGGATGCAGAGATGGTGGCACTGAACCCAGGAATCCATGCCAGACGCAAGCAAGCACTTCTCAAAGCAGGAGATTCAACACTTAACTCCTGTTGAGCTTCTAAGAAACCTGCCCAAGCTCTCTACCCTCAAGAAAGTTCACATTCACTACTTTCCTGGGTTGCAGTATTTACCATCATCTTCAAAAGCCAGAGCAAATGCTGTGTGATCTGTTGTTTACGGTAAGTACAATTAATTCATTAGTAAGATACCATGTCAGTATTTTCTCCATCAATATTGTATGGCAATAAGCCTGAGAATGGGAAAGGAACAAAAACCAGACTATTAGTGAACTTATGTTTAATTAGACTCTTAAGGGCAAGCCTAAGAAGACACTCTGAATGCATTAACAATCCTGGGCTCCTCTGCCCAGGGCTCTACTGTCTCTTGGAGTTGGGAGGGCAAACAAGTGGAAGCAGACACATGTACTGGGGAGCAAAAGACACTCAAAATGGTAAGCGCAGGTGCAGGCACCCAAGACTGCTATGGGATGTCATTCTGTATGCTGTGAATGTGTGTGGCTCCCACTGGATAATAAATAAAACTGTTTTGGCCTATGGCAGGAGAGCTTATAGCTAGGTGGGAAATCCAAGTAGAGATACAGAGAGAAGGGCAGAGTCAAGAGAGACGCCAGCCACCACCAAAGGAGCAACAAGATGCCAGCAGACCAGTAACACCATGGCCACGTGGCAGCATATAGATGAATAGGAATGGGTTAATTTAGGATGAAAGAGCTAGCTAGCAGGAAGCTGAAGCCATAGATCATACAATTTGTAATTAATAATAAGCCTCTGTGTGTTTACTTGGGACGAGTGGCTGCGGGACCAGGAAGGACACAGGAAAACTTCCGACTACAAAAGAGTGTTATTTGATTTTTATGATCCAAGTCCAGAGAAATGAGGGCTGTGGCAGAGCTGGTAAAATATTCAACTTCCCAGCTTGCATCCCCTCTTGGAGCATCCCAGTGTGGACTGGTTGGCTGGTGGCCCGCTGAGTCTTTCCTCCCAGAGTTGTGCTTTCTTTCCCCAGTGTCATGAGGATCGCCCACTGGGCCCTCATGCTCACCCCAGGTGCACACTGTTTTCTAGTGAAGCTCAAAGTCCCACACAGACTCAACATTCTGTTTCAGTTAAGGGTGATATAAAACCCGCCCAAAAGCCTTTGGAGTAAAGCCATGTCGGCAGTGGGGCACCTGTGCTGTGTAGTAACTGCAGGGACACAATGATCCAGGTCTGCCCATGCCATGCAGACAGTCTCTCCAAGTGGTTCCCAGACCTTATCCCCTCACTCTCCCACATGTAGTCCACACAGCTTTGTCTATGTCCTCTGGTTCCTTCCATACAACTGGGCACAGTCTCATTCCTTGTTACTGCACAGCCTGCTTTGTTACCAGAATTGAAAGCCCTTGGTCTTATGGGAGACTTTATCCTAATGTAGAGAATTCATCCAGTGCAAGCTCACCATAACAAAGCATTTCCATTCATGGGAAAATGAATTATAATACAGAGTGGCAAGTGGCTAGTTAATTTAAGATCTACTAATAAGATAATGCATGGCAAGTAGAAATTGTCTATGGTAGTGAAGAAACAGTCCAATGATACTTAAAATAACATAACATGTAGATAAATAAAAGAAGGAAAGAACATTAGTCTCAGGGAGGGGACTGGCCTGCCCTGGGGTGAACTTGTGGCACATGGGATATCTGCCTTTGATTTTGACACGTTCCCTAGAGTAGCAGTTTGCTGTTCAAAAAGTGTGGCTGTATTCTCGCACTTTCCGAAGTTTGATTATCAGCACAAGACCAAAGTTGGGCTGCTGACATCCCACCATACAGCAGGAGGGGATCGTGATGCCCCATCCTCTCCGGGGATATAAAGGCAGTTAATGATTGCTGGGGGGCAGGAGAGACAATTTTTTCCTGTGGTATAGCTACTACTGTTGAGGTTCCCTGCCCCTGTCAACAACCCTGAGTAAACATGCCAGGTCACCAAAGAAAAAGTGTGATTGTGTGGTAGAAAAAAATGTAGCAGCTATTGATGAAATGGAGGACTAAAGGAAGGATTTTTCCTTGTTTTTGATGGAGATTGTGGTGTTTTCTCTCTCCCCTTTTGTGCTAGTGATTGAGTGCTTGTGTCTCCACCCATTAGTGAGCTTTAAGACAGTCTGTAAAAGCCAACAAATGGAGGTTAATGCAGACAACGAAGTCTTGAGCCCAGAGAGACACTTGGTCCAGGTACAGCAGTGGGTGGAGTTCAGGGTATTGGGGGGGAAAACTTGCCTTCTAACTTCCATTTGCACCATAAAGGCCCAGGGGCACCTACCAAGCAGGCAGAGTTTAGCCTGGAGGTAGAGTCTGGTGTGGGTGAGAAGTAGATAGTTATTGTATGGCCTGAAAGATGATGGACAGACCATCTTTGCTTTTGAAGCTCAGGCACACTAGCAAAATGGCTATTGGTGGATTCTAATCAGAGAACTTCAGAGACGAGGCCAGACAGAATTCTTATTGTACCATGTTTTATATAAAATAGACATTTACATAAATTTTATTTTTGAAAGACTTAGGCAAAGTATACAGTCAGACTTAAACAGAGAAATATTTTAAGCAGCATAGCAAAAATAACACAGGTGTACATTTATATATAACCAAAACAGGAACGTTGAGCAGTAGGAACAAAGGACAAAGTCCTGACAGCAAACACAGCAACTTCCACATACCCCTGGCTCCCACAGACACCTCAGTTCCCTAGGAGAAGACATTATCTTTTCTCCCAGGAAACTGACAGGGTCACCATAAGGACTTTAAGCACGACTGTAAAGTAAGAGTTACTTCTACCATGTTAACACACTTAGGCAGCCTAGTCTCCCCAAGGTTGTTGGTCTGCATGTTTCCTTGTGGTTGTTAGTAAGAACAGTCAGGAATAAGATCATTTTCTTCACAGATAAATGGTGCCTTTTAATGCATTTTGGAGGCTCATGGTATTCCTGGAAACACTGGACAGGGCAGTGCTTCATGGGTGACAAACTCCACTGAGACTCGGACTAACCTGCCCTTGTGAGGTAACTCCTTAGAGTGACACTAGAATTAGAACTCGGAAGCACTAATCTTGAACTAGTGTGTCCCCACAATGGGCGGGCCAGCAGCTAAAGGATATGCACAGCAGGAACTTCCAGACTCACTACAAATACAAACAGTTGCCCCTGACAAGGAGGTGATATCCCGGACCTCTGCATGCAGACATTTCCAGTTAGGAATGACTGGCAACCCATGTTTTCACTCAGACCAGGGCTGTGTATTATGAGGTGCTAGGTTTTTGTTTTGTTTTGTTTTGTTTTAAGTTACATGCCCTGATGGTTTTAATCGGAAGAGCCCTGGTGATGAACATTGACTATTTTAATATGAACGAATTGATGGCTCCAGATATTTTATCCATCCTGTGGTCCCACTCTAATATGAAGCCATGTTTTGTACTATGGTTACTTTATCTCCTATCTCAGAACAAAGAACTCACAGAAACAAAAAATATTAGAAGTGTTTTCAGAACTATACAACATGCTTTGCAATGAAAACTGAGAACAATGGTAAGAACTGTAATATTTCCAATACTGGTTTTTGGTTTTCTAAAGTCTTAGCTTATACAGCTGCAGTCTGAAAGAAAGGTTTGACAGCCATTACATTTTTTAAATGTAAATGGATGGCATTTAGATACTTGGGTTTTGCTGTATTTGGATGATGCCAGCCTACAATCAAAAGTGTGATTTGAAAACAAGAAAGAGAAACAGCCTACCTCTACCATAGCTACATGCTCTCGGTGTCAGTACTAATCTAAAGGTTTAGTATTCCCTTGGGTGGATCCACCACAGACAAGAGCAGGCAGTTTTGCCCATGATTCTTTTTTTTTTTTTTTTTAAAGGAGGGCTTTTTTGTTTGTTTGGTTTGGTTTTTTGAGACAGGGTCTCTCTGTGTAGCCTTGGCTATCCTAGAATTTGCTTTGTTGTAGACTAGGCTGGTCTCAAACTCAAAGATCTGCCTGTCTCTGCTTCCCAAGTGCTGGGACTAAAGGTGTGCACCACTACATTCAGCTCATCAAAAACAGGTTTTAGTAAGTGCAATCAAGAACTAAATAACAAAGCCCCAGTGTCTGTGTGCCAGGCAGAAAGAGACAAACTGTGCCATGGATACCTTCTAAGAGTAAAAAGATATCAGGTTTTTTGTTTATTTCTTATCCTTGGCATCTTGCCTGGTGTGTGCAAATGGCAAGGTGGTGCCTCTCTATTTGACACCCAAGCATTTTCTAAATAGAAGGACAAATTGTAGTCCAGTTACCACAAGCATAAAGCCACCCTACTCAGCCACCTGCTGGTCAGTCTAGGAATAATGGCCTTGACCAACCCATGGGGCAATGACTCAGCCTTTAGAATTCTTTGGCTCATTTTAGTCCAGTAGCTAGAAATAAAAATTTCATGATAATAGCCACTTCTCCTTGGTGGAGAGCCTTGTTCAAAGCAGTCATCCCTGCAGGACTTTGCTGGCACCAGAAAGCTCATCTTAGGGAGTTTGGAGGAGTCCTAGCTGTTCTCTAAGGGCAGCCAGTGCTGAGAGCCCTGTACAGGAGGGAAGGCCTCCCTCCGGCCCCTGCTCTTTGTGATCGGAAGGATGTAGACTCTCTGCTAACAATCACAAGATACGGGACATTTGCTTTCTTTTCTCCCTCGGTTCAGTCACCTTAGGTTGGATTCTACAGTGCGGCTTGGAATTTTTTATTTAGTCTTGGCTGAAAGCTGAAAAGGGCCTCTGAAATTCTGCTGCAGACTTCAGAAGAGAACCTGCATACTGATGAAGACCAGAAACCTCTTTGCTTTGTCTGGGGCTGAGATGTCTCTGGTAGCAAGTGACAGAGGGAGGGCTTGCCTGGCACATGGAGTTCTAGGCCAGAACCACAAAAGCAAACAAGGGCCCCAGCCCCTCAAAGAGCACTTCCCCCCTGAGTTCCACCACCAAATCAGGTTTTATAAAGGACATTAATAACCTGAAACATCGGAATCATTTTTGAAAAATCCTTACTAAATAATCCCCAAATTTGAAGTAAGCCACCAAAGCCATTCCCGCAGCTACTATGTCAAAGGGCACATGAATGGACTGCCACCGGGTGGATTTCATGACAAGCACTGGTCTAGGGACGATGATGGGCAGGCCTGACAGCGAATGGTGGGGGAGGGGCTCCAGGGATGTGAAGGGCTCTATGTGTAACAGAGGAAAGAACCCCAGAAACTCCATGCTGGGGGCTCAGCCCAGGCAAAGCAATTCCTGATTCATTCTTTGTCTCCTCCTTACTACCCACGGCATGTTACAGAATTCTGAGACACACACTAGACTCTTGTAAAAAATAAAACAAAACAAAACCCTAAGAATAATTTTAGCTGAGAATAGAGCTCAGTGGGAGAGAGTGCTTCCTGGTATGTACAAGGTCCTGGGTCCAATTCTAAGTACCAATGATGAGGACAATGACAATGTTAGAATTGCCAGCAGAGTATTTTCGTGCACAAAGCTAGCTCTACTCCTAGATTTCAGAAACAGCTCTCCAGTCACTCATGAAGCACAAGCCTGCTAATGACAAATCAGATGCATTTTTACATCCAGGATCTCTCTGTTTCTACTGTAATAAGGATGACTCCCACGGATTAGTCCACGTCACAAGAACCAAACAGCATGTTACAAGATACACTCAACAGCTTTGAAAACACACTTCGTAATTGATTTTTCTCCCAGGCAACATATCTACCATGGAAACTCTCTCATTGGCTCATTCAATATCCGAGCCAAAAAGCACGCTGACTTTGTTTCTCTTTTTAAACAGTGCTTATTTTTACTGCTCAGGGAGATGTCAGAGTGGGCAGACAAATGAGAAAGGAGAGGCCCCATGCAGCAGTCTCTAGACGCCATGTGGCCTTTTCTCCTTAGAAACGTCTATGTTGTAAATACCTTTTTAATTATTCCAACAAGTTTACATGGAGACCTTCTGTAGCACTTTACATAAGGCAGAATTATGTCAAACTTTGAAATTCAATCTGTCCCATTAGTTTTTAATGCACCCATTTTGGTAAATACTATTCTACAAAGTGGTACTAAGATGTGACCAAGGACCCCTGCTTTCCAAATTAGGGGCTTGGAATTACTTTATAATAAACACTTATAGTACAAAGTTTTTACCTTGGTACTAAAGATGTCTTAGATGGAAGAAGAAAATAAGATTCTGGATCAATTTATGATATGTAACACTGACAGACAATTACATACATCAGGTGACAGTGACAAATACTGGCCCCCAAAAGCAGGTGTGCACTGGGTCAAATGCCCTTTTTGGGGGGTGGGGTCTCTGTGTAGCCCTGGCTGTCCTGGAACTCACTCTGTAGATCAGGCTGGCCTTGAACTCATTGAGATCAGCCTGCCTCTACCTCCAAAGTGGTGGGATTAAAGGCGTGCGCCACCACCACCTGGCTTCAGCATGTCTTTTCAAATAAGTTTTCAGCCATTTATTTCAACTTGCAGGAAAATAGCATACAGAGGCACTGCATCCTGATGCTGGGTTGCAAGAAGCAGGGGGGCTTTCCCTCTGGCTGTGCAGGTGGACGCTTTGCTTTCCAGCTGTCGTGTGTGTCCGACAGCTGGCTCAGCATCAGGACCTGCATTTCCTGTGTCTCTGTTTCCACTGATAAGTACCAGTAGGAAGCAGGTACTCCAGCTCCTTCACTGACTACCCAGACACTGAGCTACCCCTAATTCCATTAGCTTTAAGTGGCAAATAACCAGTATTATTTGGGGAGACTGTTAAAGCTTTCTTATTTTGCAGTTTTCATATGATTGGTTTTGAGAGCTGCTATCAAAATGACTATGTACAGAGAAAAAAAACAAGACATGTGGATATATATTAAATATTTTATAAGTTATACAATAAATAACACTAAAAATAATGTCAAATTATGATTTCAACTTTGCCTTCCTCATTTTTAAATATAAATATATTTTTAAAAAATTATGAATTTAGACTTTACCCGAGAGTTTTAGAGCATTCTCCATGGAGTCTGCAAACTTACTCAGCAGACGGTCTGCTTTTGGTCACTTGTCTTTTAAGTACAGAATTCCTACTAAAACTCAAAAGTCAATAAATAGAGCTTTCTTCCCTTAACTCAATCTGTGAGGAATTCTGTAACACAATGTAAAGGTTCCTCAATGTTTCAAAAATAATAAATCTTACGACATCTTGACCTTACCAGAATAAAGGAGAGCACTTCTCTGGACTGATCCCTTAACACTTCCATGCAGAGTGCACCCTGCCGCTCCTCACCTGAGCAGCATATTTCAGAGTAGGAGTCTCCTGGTTAATGCACTGAGAAGTTTCAGCGTGGAGACACAACTCTAGTACAATCTGGAATACAATTCAAACATTTTCATAAAGAATCAAGGATGCTCAGCTCTTTTTTACTGCTCAGGGAGATTTTTCCTGTAGAAATAAAGATACCCACATACCATTCTAGAAGATCCCCTCATGTTTTAGGCACTGGAAAAGCATATATCAGAGTGGAATTTAATGTACTTCTCCAAAGGTCCTTAGTGATACTCTTGGGAGTTGTTAGACCAAGCCCAGCGATCAAGTGCCCTGTTCCTATGACATCCACAAGACTCTACCAATGCTCTTCACCACCCATTCCGGATTCTTGAGAATGAATTAGAACTTCCACAAGTAGACTTTCCCAAGAGCTGACTTCAGAGGACACATCCTTCCTTATGAACAGCTGTCTCCTCTACAGAACTCCAAGCTTCTGTGTTTCTGGGCTATAGTAAGAATGGAGTTCAGTGTCTGCATCCTGGGACCAGGGACTGACACAGAGGAACCTGTAACAGGCTATTTCCCTTCCCTACAGGTGGCCTGCTCATCTTGGCTGTTTGTCCCTTCATGGAAACAACTCAGCACAGTCCCCAGCAGCTGTCTCGCTGTGCCACCCACCAGGAGGGGACTGCCTGGCTGGCAGAGTCTGCTGTGTGTAAGCAAGACCGCCCTCACTCTGTCCTCTTCCAGCCTGCTGAGTCCCACGTGACTGTGTCCTCGGAGCTATGTTTGATCCCTTTCTCGGACTTCTTGTAACCTTCTCTCCAGGCGATCCAGCTTGGCTAGATTTTCCTTCAGCAGCTTGCTGTCTGGAACCAGCCTCAGGGCTCTCTCGTAATAGGCCCTTGCAGACACATAGCTTCCCTGAGAGGGGGTGGGTGTAGAAAAAGAGAAAGACTGCTCAGCACAACCCTCTGAGGATGGGAGAAGACCCCCTTCCTCTGACTGCCAGTTAAGTTCCCCTAAGGAAACCTTATCTGTGGATATTGTTATCCTTATCTCTTGGGGTGCTTTAGGGGAATCCATTTGTTTTAAGAACCAGACCAGCTGGAGAACATGGAGGCTGATGGCTACACCATAAGGTTCAACGGCAGAAACACAGATTACAGCTTTCTTACTACAGAGAAGGAGACTGTTATTTTGTAGTGTTCTCAGGAGGTTAGCACGGGGCTGCTGTTCTTTGTAAGCAAATAGGCTTGGGGTGGGGGTAGAGACGGAGGGAGAGCAATAATTAAACAGACATCCATTTTATCTTTAATTTGCTCTAATTTTCAACTGAAACACATAAGCAGCCTGTGCCTAATGCCAGTTTTACACAATGCATGACTTGATTAAAAGATGGACCCAGGGCTGGAGGTATGGCTCTATGGTTAAGAGCACTTGTTCTTTTAGAGGACCCTGGGGTTTGGTGCCATTCACAGCACACACATGATGGCTTACAACCATCTGTACCTCCAAGGGATCAAACACTCTCTTCTGACCTCTGTGAGCACTTCATACATGGTACATATACATATATACAGATAAAAACTTATACACATAAAGCAAATAAATCTTAAAAAAGAAATTTAAAGATGGACTCAGGTTTATCTCCTAGCCAGGGTATGTTGTGAAAAGCACCAGCCAGACACTTGCTGCAGGAGGGGAGAAGGAATGTGACCTCTGACCTGCTGAGCACACCTGCTCCCACTTCTGTCAACATTGTTTAATAACATGTGTGCCTGGGCCCAGCTGATCACTGACCACTGGTCACAGCTAGTAGCTTTTCCTATTCCCTTCTCTACGGCCTAATGCATCATCTTCCGCCTCTGGTGCAGCCTTGCACACCTGAGCTCTGCAGAGCCCCAAGACTCAGACTGCTACAGAGCTTTTGTTGTCTGTTTCCTCTGCTCACAAGGCCCAGGAAGCTCAGGAGACTTGCAGGACTCCTGAGGCCCCTCTCTGAGGTTACATAAGCAGTAAACAGTTGCTGGAAGTTGAGGAAGGAGACTCAGGTGGCTCAGACTCATGGAAGTTGGGCAGCAGCTCTGGAGACACAGCTGAGATGGGCTTTCAGTGAGTCACACACACTGCTGTGAGTAAAACAGAAACTCACTGATTTACCAAGCTGGACTTAAGCAGGACTCTTTCCTTGGTCTGCCCTATCTGAGGCATAGATGTTTGCACCTTCCCCAGGAAGCTGCCCGATTTCTTCCCATTCTAAAACAACAAATTGATTTTACGTCATCCTCAGCTGCAGCTCCCATGTGGGTGGACACAAGAGATGTTCTAAATTTCTATCACAATTCAAATTAACACCTCTCCAAGCTAGCAGCTAATGCTTACCAAGGTGTAACTATCTTCCCACGTGTGTGTGTGTGTGTGTGTGTGTGTGTGTGTGTGTGTGTGTGTGTGTCAAGAGCTTAGATGCTGCCTGACACAGTGAGACCTCAACAGAATGCTGGAGTTACCCCCATCACTGGGTAGACTGCTCAGTCTCTATGACTCACGGTCTAGTTCTCATGGTGTTTATGTGTACAGCTGGTGTAAGAGGGTGTGGAAATGCTGAAAAAAAAAGAAGGAATTGTCCACTGAGAACCCAGCACTGGCTTGTGTAGTTATATTCGACAATTAATGCTGATGAAAAAGGCCAAACTTACTTGAGGCAAGGATCTCAGTTCTGCTGCATTTCTGTTACCGCCAGCATCCTCCTCCAAGTCTCTGGTTTCCGATAAGCCCAGTGTACATCTGGGTGCCTGCACACTTATGGGTCCAAGAAATCGCAAGATACTCCACACGCAGGCCTCCAGCCGTCCTTGGAGGCTACCCTGAATCTAGGCCTCATTCTTAATCTTGGCATTGTTTCAGATCACTGGGTTTCTGCTTTTTTGCACAAAATATGTGTGCCCTCTCTCCTTCAAATTGCTCTATTCTTGATTAAACTGTAAACCCTGTTTATTTTTTAAAATTATATCCCTTGTCAACAATTCTAAGTCTATGGTATATATGAACTGTAACAATCTGATTTCTAGAACTGAATTTTCATTAATTAAGACTAGAATCCATCTATTAGTCATACCAGACAGATTTCCTGTGCCCAGTTGCTGTGGCTCCTTGACAGTGAAGATACAGAACATGCCAGAGAGCTCTACTAGACAACAATATTCTGCAAAGCATGGGTGGCCATCATGAAGCCATGCTGAAACAGAACTTTGAAATATGGCTTGGCTAACAGGAACTCATGAACTTTAGACCAACAGCTGTGGAACCTGCATGGGACTGGACTAGGCCCTCTGCACAATTGAGGCAGTTGTGTAGCTTGGTCTTTTTCAGGGGACCCTGTCAGTGGGATCAGGATCTATCCCTGGTGCATGAGCTGGCTTTTTGGAACCAATTACCTATGGTGGGACACCTTGCACAGCCTTGATGCAGGGAGAGGGGCTTGGACCTGCCTCAACTGAATTTACCAGGCTTTGCTGACTCCCCATGAGAGGAGGAGGGATGAGAGGGGGATCTGTGGTTGGTATGTAAAATGAATAAACAATTTCTTAATAAAAAAAAAAGAAATATGGCTTGGATGATGAAATCCCATTAGAGCTTGAAATTCCAGCCCATCTCCTTACTTCATCTTGTGTAAAAGTTCAGGGAACATAACTGTGAGCATCCCTCACCCCAAAATGCAAAATGTTCAAAGTCCGACACTTTCTGAACAGACAAGATACCAAAAATAGAGGATTCTGTAACTGACCTCATGGGATGGCCTACCTGTCAAACTGCAGACACACTAAAAATATCCTATACAATTACTGCAGGGGCTGCATGTAAGGGCAAAAATGTGAGAGGTGAAGTGAATTTTGCAGTTAGACTTGACTGTCTACATCTGAGGCACTTCAGGTCACAGGACTGACCTTAGACACATGGTGTGATTGTGTCCTTCCTTCCTAGGACTACCACAACCTTCAGTGTTTTTTTCCCCCATCTCCTATGCCACCTCCTTGCAAAGCCTTATTTCAACTCTTCACTTCCATAAGCCTTGGAGGCCTATACTCCCCAGGCACAGGGCAGGCAGGAGCCAGGGCCAGCATGGGTGATATTGTGATGAACACTCCTTGCAAAAGACACAGGAAGTTCAGGATTGTTCCTGCACACCCAAGCTGTGCCCACTACACACATTATTCAAATTTATCCACAGACTTGTTAAACTATGAGTATGGGAGTTTTCTAAGCTCAGGCTAATCCATGATGTCTGCAGTGACAAAGGCTGATCATTTTAATGAATGTCAATTACATTTTGCTGCAGGCCGCAGGAATATATCGTAAGAACTCAGCTGATTATGGCAAAGTCACTACCTGGAGAGATCAAGGATTTCCTCCAGAGGAAGCCAAATTCCAAGGAGCTTTTGGTGTTATTTGGCTTGTGATATATCAGCTGTATTCTGTTATGAAAATCATGTGTGCCTTCATAGTTTTCCCAATTGACTTTTCCCCAGGAAGGGCTAACAGTGTGGACTGATCACTCTCTGGACATACACATTCCAGGACTTTGGAGAACAGCCTCAGGAAAGGCTTTCTCTGGAATCAGATATCTCCCTTAGCCACTTTCAAGGACTAACAGTGATAACAGTTCACATGCTAGTCACCTGTCTTAGGGTAAATTCCACAAGGAAACACTGCCTAGGTCAGGTGGACATTAGGTAATAGCTTTACACAATGTAGCTTGGACTCTCCCTTTTTACACTGGGACTTCGAGAGAACAGGACGAAGAAGAGAAAAGAGAATGGAAGAACTAGATGGGTAAGAACTTGAGAGGAACAAACTGAGATGGGGAAGAACTAGATTGAAGGGCTAGAAGAGAGGACTAGAGGGATGAGATGGAAGATGAGGAAGAGTCAGGTGGGGAAGTACTAGCTGGGTAAGAACAAGATGAAAAGAACCTAGATGAAGCAGAATTAAGATGAGAGAATTAAGATAGAACTTAGAGGGATCAATAGATAAGTATAGAGAGAAATCAGGCAAGAAAGGAGCTAGGCACAAGAACAGAACTGAAGCTGGGTATAAAGGATGTTATGCCAGAGGAATTAAAGCAAGTGGACTATAGAGCTCGGTGTGCTGAGATTCTATTTCCCGAAAACAGTCCTCGCCGTTAGTAGTTCTCTCTCCTGAGCCCCTGGGATATATACTATTAAGGCTGGTCCCTCTAATATTATACAAGAACATTTGAAAACAATATACTCAGTAGATATCTCCAGAGCTCTGTCCTGTGAACATACAGCCTTGAGTTCAGATACATAATAATTATACTATTTTTCCTTTTGAATGCTCTTGGGTATATTCTTTCTACTTCAAATTAACAACTGAACTTTAATTTTTGTTATATTTCACCTGGGAAAGTTATACATTATTCTAAAAAACAACTGTTGAATATTTAAAATAATGCACTATTCTTAGGAAAATCCACTCTGTTTGACAGATGTTGCTGAACATCCCACAGTACTGTGGGTCTGTGACTGAGCAGCAGCTTAGATTCCCCACAACAAGGAAGACGTTGTTCCCTTACCCGAGCAGCTGCAAGCCCCTTTCACTCTGCTGTCTTTCTAAGAGTGCTCAGGTGCCGGTGGGAGGAAAACACTGGCAGGTCTCCTGGAAATTCTCATCACTACACTATCCCTCATCCCTGCAGGGTCTGATAGAAGCCTGAGAGTAAGTTGGCCCACAAGTCATACCCTGGCATCTCTGTGAAAAGTCCTTCCAGGACCCAGCTACTTGGCACAAAAACCCAAGCTCCAGGAATCGCTTTTAGGCCTCACTCTCGGGCCTCAGCATCCACCATCTCCTTTTACCTCCTCTGACCAGTCATGCTGCCTGCTTACCATTTTCCACACACACCAGCACCTTCAGCCTCAGACCTCTGCATGTGCTCTTCATCTGTCCACATGACTTGACCCCTTCAGATCCCTGCATTCTACAGGAGCCTTCTCTAAGAGCCCTGTCAGCACCCCTCTCCTTTCCTTTTTTTCTTCATACACATCTTACTATCTGACGTGTGTACATGTGTACTTATTCCCTGTCACCCCAAACTAGAGCATCAGTTCCACCAGGACAAGAGTTTCTGTCTTGTCTGATCACTGTTACATGCCCAGTATCTAGACATGCACCTGGCATACAGGATGGATGCTCAGTAGAGATGCCAGTCAGATGAATGAGTACATGCACGAATGAATCACAACACATCTTTGACTTTATTGGCTACAAACAACGCCTAGGGTCACTTTTGATCATTCTTGGCAGAAAGACTCACCCAAAGTTAACTTTAGGGGGCGGGGACCAAAGCAGACAAACATGTTTTCCACTAAGAGGTTAGGGAATAAAAAATGTTTTCAACATGGAAAATAAAGGGGCAGGAGAAATGCTTCACCAGTGAAGCATACTGCTCTTACAGAGGACCCACGTTCAGGTCTTAGCACCCATGCTGGGCGTCTTACAAAGGCCCTTAACTCCAGCTCTGGGGGCCCACCATCACCCTCTGCTGGCCTCTGAGGGCATTGCACTCATATCCCACAATCACACATAATGAAAAACAGGAAATAGTAAAGCATATTTAAATTAACAGTCTGGTAATGCTGAGGAGTTGCCAAGCTTCACAGGGTCAGTGCACACAGACCTCAGCTGCTGTCCGATAACCCTTCTTTCCACACGTGATTTTCCTTATGATCAGCAGTATAATGGAGTTAAGCTTATAAACATTTAAACAGGTCCATAATATTCATGATTCAGAAAACATAGCTCTTCTGAATTTTACTTTCAGAATGCCTATGTTTTAAGTATTCAAGTGATTTCAAACAGAAAATGAACAGTGGCTTCTAAACCAGGATGAGAACACAATGAGTGCCACTCCTACCTGGATGTGCCGGATGCCACCCATGTTCATCCACGCCTGTGCCTGGTCAGGATCCAGGGTCACAGCAGCCTCATAGCTCTGAGCGAAGAAGGAAAGCTTCATGTTAACACATGAGATGCATCTAAGACGCCACAGAACTGGACAAACCCCAGCCCACATGGAGATCACTAACAGCCACTTAGCAGCTGGCAAGTGCAGTCTGCTATTGTTTTTAGAGTTGATGGTTCTGAAGGGCCTCGGGGGCTTCTACGACAGCACATATATGGCATGCCACTGGGGAGCCAGGGATTTCTGGAACAGCTTGTTTCTCTGATTCTGCAAGAAAGCTGTGCTTGATGGTCTTCCTCATCCATAAATGAGCTGATAAGGAACACTGCTGTCAGGATTACAGAATCCAAGGAGGGTAGTTCAGTGCAGAACACAAGCTCAGCCTGTGTGAGGCCCTGGGCTCCATCCCCAGCACTCAAATATACAAACAAACAAACAAATAAGTAAATAAATTAATTAATGAAAATCAGAGAACCTGAGGTTCTCTTCTAGCCGCTCAACCATGGCCCAGCCCCTTCAACCTCCAACTTGTTGCTAAGTATCTAAAGCAGCATGCTTACATTGTTTTATAGGGGTCACGACACCTGTTTTTTTTTTTTTCTACCTTTTGGAAGCTCTTCAAAGCTGAAATGTAGTGGCACACTCCTGTAATTTTAGCTGCTCAGGGGCAAATGACTGATAACCTTAATGATGAATGTTTACATTTTTTTCTTTTGTTTTTTTGAGACCAAGTCTCTCATTATAGCCTTGTTGCCCTGGAACTCACTGGCCTTGAACTTATGATCCTATTGTCTCTGCCTCCAGATATATCACCACATCCTGCTAACACAGGAATGGTTTTAAATATTTGTGTGTATGTGTGTGTGTGTGTGTGTGTGTGTGTGTGTGTGTGTGTGTGTGTGTGTGCGCGCTCCCACACATAGGTACATGCATGTCATTGCAAACATGTGGAAGTAGAGGCCAACTTGGGAGGAGTCAGTGGTCCCAGGTGGTCAGGTTTGGAGGCAAGTGCCTTGACCCACTGAGCTATCTGGCCACCCCTGACGTGATACTCACTAAGTTTCAGAAGAAAAGTCACTGCAAGATAGATGGTCTAGAGGGGCTTCCTGGGGAAGACTGCATGACCCTATGTAAAGAGCCCTGGGAATAAGAGGAAATCCAGAGGTGATGGCAGGTGTCACAGACACATAAATGCCCAAAGCTCCTTGGGCTCCCGTCCAGCTGTGATAGAGGTTCTTGCAGACAAAACAGACAGTGTAGGTGGCTCTTCAGAATTCTAGAATATGAAATGCTTCGAATGTTTTCTAACCATGAAACTTGAAGAGATAATTCAGAGGTGTTGTGTAGGTGAGTCATCAAAAACCAGAGGCTTAAAGGAAAGGAGCCCATAGCACTGTCCGCTAATCAGAACGTCCACAAACCGCCAGTGACAAGAGCCAACTGCCCAGACTCCCTCATGGCTGCAGCATTCATTTAAACCCGGAGGGATAGCTCAGCCGTTAAAGGCTAGGCTCACAACCAAAAATATAAACCTGTACATTTAATGGCAGTTTGGCTCGTCTTACCTCAAAAGCTTTATCCAGAAGGTTCTGCTCTCTCAGCTGGTTTCCTTTTGTGAAGAAAAGTTCAGATATGACTTTTGGGTCCCTGGGCTTCAGCTGAAGAGCCCTGTCTATAGCCTCGAGCGCCTGCAGCAGGGGGAAATGTAGGAACCCTAACTTAGAGTGACATTACACCTCTGTTCATAGCCATCTGCTAGTGTGACCCATGACAAACAAAACATACTTTCTACACTCCCATTTTCTCATTGGGAATTAATGGCCCCAGAAAGATCATTCCCTGTGCCTCAGGTTCCCTATTTACAGTTGAGCAAGAATCAAACATCTTGATCAGTTTACAAGAAGGTTACACAGTTGCAGTAGGGTTTGCAGGACTACTGGCCCCTGGTTCCTGCCCCACCTTTACACACAGGCATTGCTTAGAAGTACAATCCTGCCTTGTTGTGAAGACTCCAAAGTTTATCCTAGATCAGGGATAAAGCCCATGGCCTTTCCCCAGGTGTGTGGGTCTAGTCACGTTTGCACCTTCAACCGTGTGCTCTGCCCCTCCCCCACCCTTCGTGCCTTAGGCACACCTGCTTCTGTTGTCACAGGCCCATTTTGCTTGCTGACCTCTTCTTCTCTAGACCCTTCCCTCACATCTTGCCATGTAGAGACCTGACCTCAACTAGCCAGGTGCTGATTCTCAGTGGGATGCTTGGTGTCCCTCTTTCTGATCTCACCAATCACATTTGTCTTATGATTTCTTGATCAGTGTCTGTCTCTTTCTCTAAATAAGCTTCCTTAGGCCAGAGCAGCATTTTTTTTTCCATCCTCCCTATGCCTGGAGTCTACCATAGTGTCCAACACTTTGTAGGCATTTAATAAATATTTTCTTGAGTTTAATGAATTTAATGGTTATGTGATTTTTCAACATACAAATAAAGAGTCACAGTTCTGCCTCACAGGGCTGTCCTGAGGATTGCATCAAATATTACAACTTGGAGAGCCAGAGGGCTGGGCGTGGAGGGGCTGGACATTCAGGGGCTGGGCATGCAGGGGCTGGACATAAGGGGGCTAGACATGTAGAAGCTGGACATGCAGGGGCTGGACATGCAGGGACTGGACATATAGGGGCTGGGCATGCAGGGGCTGGACATAAGGGGGCTAGACATGTAGGAGCTGGACATTTAGGGGCTGGGCATACAGGGGCTGAACATGCAGGAGCTGGGCATGCAGGGGCTGGGCATGCAGGGACTAGACATGCAGGGGCTGGACATAAGGGGGCTGGTAATGGTGAGATGAAGTATCTGAAAATCAAGGAGGAGTCAAGGATGTACTATTTCAAGATGTGTCAGGAGGTAAGAGGGTGTCTGAGAAAAGCTCCCAGTGGGTAGAATGTGCAGACCAATGCTCTCAAGACTTCGTGGCATTGTGAACATGGCGCTGGAGGATCTTTTGGCGTATGCTATTTTTCTATGTAAACCCCACATGGCTCTAAGAGCCCTTTTCTACCTCATCTTGGCATTCCCACTTGCTTTGGTGGTTGAAAGCTTGGAAGAGAGAGCTTCCTTACCTTCTCATGGTGCTCCTGCTTGCTGTAGATTGCTGATAGGAGGCGGTAGCATTCCAGGCATCTGGGTTCCTCGGACACTATGTGACTGGTCATCTTTTCAGCTTCTTTGGTCTGACCCATCACTGCTAAAACCTGTGCCTGAAAAACCACAGGGCACCAAGCTTAGAAGATACCTGGTCACTCCTTAGCAGATGAAGCAACATCTGCAGAGAGGTATGTACAAAGCATCCTAACACCCAACACAAAGCATTTTAGAGAAAGCTGAATGCCACAGCAGAGAGTCCAGCATTTGGCTGTAGTAGATTTCTGCATGCATTGGGTGCCAGTGATGGGAGTGCCATAGACACTCATCAAACAGCTTGTGACTCTCAAAAAAGGTGGCAAAACGTGCCAGGAGGTAGTTCCCTCACAGAACACAATGATGTAAGAAAATGACAGATCTGATTTAAGAAGAAAGCATGAAATTCAAAACACTGAAATTAAAATGTTGGAGGTGTTAACTGCCCTGAGTTTGATCACCACCCTGCGGGTATATGAGACAACGTCTTGACTTATGGGAATCATAGGAGCAAGTGACAGACAAAGCAGGCGATATCTACCACAAACTGTCACGCCAGGAAAAACAGGCCACATACTAGAGCATGCAGACACACCTAAACATTTGCTCGTACACACCCGTCTATTGACACTCACACACAGGAGGAGTGACAAACAAATGCATCAATGTGCCAAGTATTCCAGGCAGTTTTTGTTTGGTTTGGTGCTGGTGATAGAACCCAGGCCCTGGGCATGCTGGGAAGTCCTCTGCCAGTGCCCACAGCTCCCTTGTAGCTTGCGTTGGGAAATTTGAAGTTATTTGGAAACAAGGAGCTTCAACAGCGTCTGTGTCTTGGCCTTGTGTGACAGGTTGCCCCGGGAGTCACCTGACAAGTCACACAACAGCCCTCCAACAGTGTTTTCCTTTCAGCTCAGAGGCTCAGTGGTGTCAGCTCTCTGTTTGCAAGCTGCACTTACACCCAGTATCACTTTATCTCCTCTCTACTCACCAGTGCCAGGCGGAGATCCCTCTGGGAAGGCTGGAGTGAGACAGCTTCCCGGTACACTTCCAAAGCCTCCTTGTGTCGGCCAGTGTTGTAATAGAGTGCTCCCAAAGGTGACAGGACCTCAGCCGTGCGGGCCACCTTCAGGGCACTGCAGGGAGAAAGGCAGACAGGTGCTTCCTCTGGTGGGCACATTTCCAAGGTCTGCACTTAGGCAGTGGGAGGACTGCCCAGTTAGATACCCATTTGAATTTAGTCTGTTTATAGATCAAAGTCATCCTCTATCCTGGGTGAATGCCTCCAGTGACCCACCAACCCAGCAACTGGGTCTCAAGAGTCTGTACCAGTCATAATTGACTTGCTCAGGTTCTGACAAAGTAGCAGCCTTACACCTGTTTCTAGTATTGAAATGGCCACTTCTTCCCAACCCTGACTGAGCACTGTGGCCTCACCAGTGGGGAAGTTTCTGTGAGCACATGACTACACTGTCATGCTGTTCTGGAAGTAAGTTGCTGTCACCTGAGCCGGCCACATGTGCTCCTGTTCTGAAAGGCTGTCTGTCCCAGTAGCTAGGGAGCCCGTGAGAAACTGCTGATGGTTCCAAGAGGCTAAGAAAGCGAAAAGAAGGGACTGTACCGTTTGTACCACTCTTCTGCCATGCTGTTTTCTCCCAAGGACCTGTAGAGTCGGCCCAGATTCACCACAGCCACGTGATGGCTTGGGCTGAGCTGGATGGCCTGCTGGTAGTGAGCCACGGCCTTCTCTGGAGAGCCTATAGTATGATGGGGTGGAAAGAGAACAGACCACAGGGATGAGGGGCATGGCTACCAGTCTCCCTTCTGAGGCATGCCATTCTTTCTCAGCATGACAGCATCATAGCATCAGGTATGCAGTTTGTGATCAGCTTGATTTTGGGCCTCTTATGCTTGCCACTGCCTAATCTTGACCCGTCACTATTCACCAACACTTCCTAGGAAATTAATAAAATGTTGGCAGTGATTTTTTGTTTGTTCAAATCAGAGTCTTACCCTTTAGCTCAGGCTGGCCTTGAACTCATGGAAATCCCACAGCTTCAGTCAAGTGCTGTGATGACAGGCATGAGCCACCACAGCTGGCTGTGGTTATGTATCTAAGACATTGTTGCTTATCATTACACACAAGGTAGAACAGGCTACTGCAGAAAGAACACAGGTCTCAGTGATTTCTAAAGGTCTGTCTCAATTTTCAGGATAAAAGAGTGACAGTGCTCTTTTGAAAACCTGTAAATCACACATTTTATTGAATGGTGTGTGTGTGTGTGTGTGTGTGTGTGTGTGTGTGTGTGTGTGTGTGTGTGTTGCATATACTCTTGTGTGCATGTGTGCACAGGAAGGTCAGAATGAGATCAGTTTCTCTCCTTCCACCACACAGGTCCCAGGAATCAGGCTTAGAGGCAAGTACTCTTACCCACCGAGCCATCTTGTTGGCCTCCATGGTATGCATTTAATGAGATTTTAAACACAGCAGTTATGTCACCTTGTATTTGCCCAGTGTATATATTAAAACCTCTCTGCTCACATGGCCTCCGCAGTTGTTTAGGATCCTATTTAGCTGCCTCTTGGGATTTAAGAGGTACTTTTTTAAAACCACCAAACAAAATTATCTCTTTACAGATGTAGACACTAAAGTGCAAAGACCTTAAGGGACTGGATAACAATCCCAGGGCAAGTAAAGACAAAAGCCAGAGGGAGAATCTGGTCTCCCTGGTCTGAGAAGGGCCCCCCAGAGAAGCTTCCTAGAAACTAAATAAGTGACTGAATTTCAGAGCAGCCCAAAGTGTCACAGACTGTACCCACAGGTCCACATGATCTCCCCACTACACTCTCTTTGAACACAGGTTTATCTAGGACCATGTCAGGGGGCTATCAGTGATTTGACAGGGTTCTCTTCAGAGGCTCATGTGGGACTGTTGTTGAATTGAAAGGACAAGCTTTAGTTCAGGCAGGTGAACAGGTGCTCTTCTTACTTTAATGATGTGGTATCATGTGTCTAATGATCCAGCAGGGGGCACCACACAGCAATTTATATGCAAAAGCAGCTTGCTTTCCCTCGATGATAAAAACACAAGCTTATATTCTATTAAACAGAAAAGCTTCACACATCCTAGAAAATGAAAATCCTTTCAAGCACTTAATATTGAAAAATAATAATCAGACTGAATTCTCCTGCAGGGCAGACAGTCGCTGAGCCAATAGCACAGGGAGCCACCTTTATATTAAAGCCAAAAGTCATCACATTACTTCTGAGGATTCCCTACACATGAACAGTGTATGGGGCTCTGTATAAATCACAAAGGAAATAGAATCTGTGCCCAGTTCCACCTGTCACAGGAGGCCACTGTGTCAATTGCTAGAACGCATTTCTGAAATGTACATCAAGGAAAAAATTCCAAAGGCTTGACAAAGTCAGTTACAGACAGCAGCCACCATTTCCTGGAAGCAGGTTTGGAGGCAGGTTCTTCCCTGAGGAGGCTTTTGGCAGCACTGAGGCACAGCCCTGTGGATGTGGTGTTTAGAAAGACAAAGCTACTTCCTGCTCCGGGACTTTTCTTACAGACAGGATGCTGAGCTGAACTTGGAGATTTAGAAAAATGGCAGCCCTACAGTTCATGGGTGCAAAGTGTAAGCCGCCTGCACAGCTGATAACTGACACCAGTATGAGAGAGAAAAGGGATCTCAGCAGAGTGGCGGCTCACTCACCAGAGTCAACTAAGAAAACTGCGTAGTTGTTGTGTAAATCTGAGCTGTCTGGACAGTTCTTTATTCCAGCCTGGTAGATGTCCTCAGCTTCCTTAAATCTTTCCTTTAGCAGAGAACAAAGAAAAATAAAGTTTTATAAAACCAGCAATACAGTGAAGATTGGGAGTGAGCAGGGAAAAGAGAGAATGCTTACTGAGCCTTGATTATATACCAGGAACCAAGAAAATCGCACAAGCTTTGCCTGAATCCAAGCCAACATTAACTGCACACAAGTACAGATGTGCTTAGTTCCTCTGGTGCAAACACGCTAATACTTACGAAGATGCAGCATCTGGATGGATCCAGACCTGTATGTGGAAAAGGTCTGAGAATGATTTTTGGAATGGGGTTCCTTCTTCACCTTGGTGACTCTAATGGAAACGCTGAATATCGGTGCAGGTGTTGAGGCACAGAGGTGGTCCCTGGGCTTGGAGGCAGAGTGCTAGGGGATTGACAACTGCATTTGACAGAACAGCCCCCAAGATTTGCTAGGGGAGTTTTGCTGTGTGTGTGTGTGTGTGTGTGTGTGTGTGTGTGTGTGTGTGTGAGAGAGAGAGAGAGAGAGAGAGAGAGAGAGAGAGAGAGAGAGAGAGAGAGAGAGAGCGAGCCCTACTTGCTCTGTAATCCATGTTGACCTAACCTCATAGCCCAGGCCAGTCTCTTAACTCACTACAATCCTCCTGCCTCAGTCCCATGAGTGCTGAGATTGGGGGCAGGTTTTCAGGCAGGTGATGAGGGGCCTGGTGCAAGGGAAACAAGGGCTCTGTCTTACCCCTTCTCTTCTTGAAGTATTTTGACAGTTCACCAAACCCTGTGCTCCTTGTCTTATTAAATCTGTGCTTTTAGGGGGCAGGAAAGATGGCTCAGCAGTTAAGACCACTGGCTGCTCTTCCTGAGGAACCAGGTTCAATTCCCAGCACTCACAAGGCAGCTCACAACTGTCTGTAATTCCAGTTCTAGGGGATCTGACACCCTCACACTGTCATGAATTCAGGCAAAAATCAATGCACATAAAAATATTTTATAAGTTGGATGTCCAATATTAAAAGATTATAATTTACAAAAAATAAAATAAATCTGTGCTTTCTGAGCTGGCTTCTGCAATGGGATTATCTGTCCTCTTGAGGCATATGCCATACCAGTCACACACCTCCAATGGGTCATTTTCTAACTGCCCTCCTTCTCTATGTACCTTAACATATTTTAATTATTTACAATCTAATAACGTTTAATTCAGAACATAATAACTTATAGGTATTTTCCACAGTCATCTAAAATCATTGTATCAACCTTTCTTTTAAAATACATGGATTAAAATTATGTAAATAATCAAAGGTTCTGAGAATTATCTGAAAACTATAGTTAACTATTTTATATCCTAGTACTGCTGTTAAAGTTAGGCAAAAGAAACCAATCCAGTACAAAGCACTTTGCAACTTTTCCTTAAGATGCTAAACATTTATCATGTTATCATGACATCATCAGCAATGTGAAAATGGACACCCCAGCCTGTAAGTGAAGGTATGTGGGGTGGTCATCTTCCATGCTGCTCAGGAAGCCAAGAGACTGAGATCCAGAAGCTGGAAGGGACACCGTGGGTTCTTCACCTTATGGAACCACCAATGCTATCTGTCTGAATCTGCACCACTTCAGCACCATTGAGGAAAGGAGGATGTTTACATGTGACAAACGTTACTTATTGAATCAGACATCCATGGGCCAGCAAAAAGAGATGCACATTTCTCAAACACCTTCTCTAACTGCCACGTTCAATAAATGTCAAACTCAAAGAAGTTAAAGATGAATGAAAATCTCAAAATAGGTACTTTTGATCTTAGTAAGCCTGAAAGAAAGCTTTTGAAGACACTGTGCATTGAAAAGTCGATGAGTGGTTTGTGTGTGTGCGCGCGCGTGTGCGTGTGTGTGTTAAAGGACAGGAAGAGTGTACACTACATCAGATTCCAATCAACATTTAGAAAGTATCATAGGGCCTTTGTCCACTTATCCACAGTGTATCACGGTTGCAGCAGCTATAGGAAGGAGGGCACATCCATCAGGAATTGCCCCCTGGGGCCTGTGAGGGGCCCAGTTGGTAAAGGGGTCTGCGGCAAGCCTGACAGCCTGGGTTCAATCCCCTCAAATAGCAGAAGGAGAGAACTGATCCCCTCAAGTTGTTCTCCAGTCTCTACACCCACGTGGTGGCCAGCGCGCGCGCACGCGCGCGCGCACACACACACACACACACACACACACACACACACACACTTTTACATATATAAATAACTTCATCTTTACCTATAACGTTCTGTCATGGGTGGGAAGGGGCTTATAAGGTCTCCTCCCTTCTTGAGGAGCTGTAGGCAGTTCATGGTTGTGGGGAAGGAAGACTCTTATTCCTCAGTGATGCAGCTTATTGAAAACAATAAAGTCTAACACAAATAATGCCTTTATATAAAAAATACCTTCCAAAGCAAAAGAGGATTCTATAGTGGCATTAACTGAGATATTTATTCGATTATTCTGGTTGTGGGCATACTGGGGTCAGAATTAAGAGCCTCACACATGCTAGTTCCTGAGCTATCTCCTGGCTCCATTAAATTAACTCTTTACGGATCTCTTTGATGTTTGACCTAGTAGAGGATATCTGGATTCTCATACCTGCTTTTGTGCCAGTGCGTTTTAAGTGGTTTCTGTTATTGGTAGTTGAAGTATGAAGAAAATGTAACCTGACAAGCTGAAAAAATGGAAAGGGGGCTATCATTTTAACAGCCTTTTCTGAATTTCGGATATACCACGTGACTACAGAGAACTACTGTAAATTTACAAAAGAATGAGATCGAAAGGCAAGTTACTTTTTCATATTCGTAGGAAAACTGCATTGACCACTGTGGACCCCGGGGGGCTCCCTCAACACCACTGTAGTTGGAAACTTAGAGGACAGTCCACAGCAAGGTGTATTTAATATTTAGGAGGTGTACAGTGGGTTCTCCTAACCACAGAAAAAGTTCCCTGACACAGGCACAGGTCTGGACCCCATTCAGAAATGTGTTCATTCTAACTCTGAAGCAAAGCAGTCGCGAAGTGCCTGTTCACTGGTCCAGCACTGGGAAGCTGAGGACTCATGGATATGACACTCTGGGACACAGGGGACAGATAAGTCTAGCAGCTTTAGGAAAATGGATACCTGGAGACTAAGTTATAAGACATCCCTGGGAAGCTGGGGACTGACAACCCTGACAGCCTGTGGCTTCCTGACATCCTGCTGACTTTGCTAAGAAACTACTCAAGACACAGCAGCCCCGGAGAAGAAGACATCCAGGGGCTTCCTCGTCACTCTCACTACTGCTGTTTTCTTTACAAAACGGTGAACATTCAACTCCAAGTGATCACAGGACAATTCTGAGAAATATGCTATCAATGTCTGATGTCTCATTTTCCTTCATATCCAACTGAAATGAATCAGTGTGCTTGGTGCTCTTCCTCCCTGAGGAAATGTTGGCATTTCTAATGCTGCATGTCTTTGTCTCCCAGCAGAGTGTGAGCAATGCCTGTGTGGTAACAGAGCGAAAGAGAAACAGCCACTTCAAAGAGGAAAGCCAGAACAGGAAAACAACAATGAAGAGGACATGGTGACTGGGAGGGCTAGCAGAACACATGGATACAGAAGAAGGAGGAGGGGTACAGGGATTAAAGTGCTAGGCTGGATGGAAGCAGGGGGATGAGGTAAGGAATGGGTTAACCAAAAGTAAGGATTGTGAGAAAGCCTTATGGAAACCCACTAGTAGGCAAGACAATTTCAAAATATGATTTTAAAAAAAGTTCAGCCGGGCGGTGGTGGCGCACGCCTTTAATCCCAGCACTCGGGAGGCAGAGCCAGGCGGATCTCTGTGAGTTCGAGGCCAGCTTGGGCTACCAAGTGAGTCCCAGGAAAGGCGCAAAGCTGCACAGAGAAACCCTGTCTCGAAAAACCAAAAAAAAAAAAAAAAAAAAAAAAAAGTTCAAATGGAGGTACCATGCACAAGTGGACAATGCAGCTTCCAAGAAATTACAGAAAACATCATGAGACACCTCCCTAAGAGACAGTCGATAGCCACCCTGACTGAGGAAGAGTGGGCGGCTGATAGCTCCTGGGGAGGGAGAATCGTTCTTTTACAGAGGCTGTCCATTCTCCAGTGGAGTGTGTCCTTCCCCCCAGTGCTAACTGACTAAATAAAGAAAAAGGAGGACAGGAAAATGGGAAAGAGGTGTGTGGGGGGAATGGTGGCAGGGAGGACAGGAGAAAACAGGGATGAATATGATCATATTACATTGTATACATGTATGGAATTCTCAAGTAAATTAATACACACGCACAAAGAACGTAAGAGCACATCTCTACAGGAAAGAGGAGACCCACATGTGCGAACAACTGAAGTGTCCGATTCCCAGCCTTTCCTGTCATTTTGACCCATCCTCTACTCTTGCAGATGTAAGATCCACATGGTCTTCTAGTCTTCTGGCCAGAAAGGTTTTCCTCCTCAGCTTCATGCATTAGCTTATAGCACCCGCCACACCCTTAGCCACATCTTTTGGCTCAAGTCCCCATAACACCCTCCCTAGTAGTTGCAGGGAGCTCACTCCCTGCTTCCAACTCCCCTCTCCATGACTAGGTTTCAGGAAGGCAAGATACAGGCCTTGCTATTTGAGGGATCTGTGGTGTTTGCTGGAATTCGCATGCTCAGTCACCATGATCTAAATGATTAAATTAATACATTCTCACATTAGGGTTCACTCCAAGTTGACTTAGCCCTGAGTGTTGAGTGTGACTGACCCAATTCATGACAGCATTGCAGGAGAGACACTGAGTGTATCCTCTTACTAACTCATGTTAGGTCTCAATATTCTTTCAAGACAGGGTTTCTCTGTGTAGTTTTGGTGCCTCCCTGTAACTCACTCTGTAGATCAGGCTGGCCTCGAACTCACAGAGATCCACCTAGCTCTGCCTCCTGAGGGCTGGGATTAAAAGTGTGCACCAGCACCGCCCGGCTCAGGTCTCAATATTCTTTCACTCTGGTATTAAATAAA